GGTGACGGGTTTGGTGGCGATGCTCCATACGCTATCCGGGCGGACGGTCCCCGCCATCTCACCGATGTCCATTGTCAGGAGCGCTTGGACCTGAAGGGAGGGTGGGGACGGGGGTGTTGCTGAAAACGTTTGTGCCAAAGTGCATGGACAAACACGCAGGGGTAAAGGTTCGCTTTACAAAAGCCTGGACTCAGTATCGCCGTTGTGGCAGGTGCTCCTATAGGTGCATCCATATTCTACGATTCAAGTCACATCACAACATGTCTGACGCACCTCCTCGAGTCCCGCGTTGATTGCGGCAGTGACACTGTTGTCGTCGGGGTAGTAAGCACGGATGGCCGCGACTGCGGGCTCCCCCACGGCCTGTTGAAAGGGAAGATAGTGGTTAGGGTGGGGTACTCTGTGCTCTGTTGGGGGATACCGTATTAGGGCAAATGCAAGCAAGGACATATACGCACGAACCCCGAATGCATAGTATGACACTCACGCAGGGGACTGTGTTGTCGCCCCGTCCCGCATAGCCAACAATGTAAGTCGTCAGTACTCAGGCACGTCACGTCGCGAAGACGGTACTGGCAAAGAAGTTACTCAGGTAATGGGGCACATGGTTGCTATGAACGGGTGGCCAGGCCTACTTCTGGGACGAATGCCCTGGCCTTCCCACGTGAAGCTCCACGTTTCGCGTCGGGCACAACCAGCTCTGACGCGGCCTCTGTTGACTGCTGTACGGGGACGTTGCGCAGGAGCTCCTCTGCTCTCAACATCCCGAACACGCAGGATGTCTTGTCCGCGCACCGAAGGGACTGGAAGGTGTGCTCGGCGGGGCGACTACCCAGCTGGCCAAAGCAGATCCTCACCATTACCTACGAAAGGGAGCCAAAGGCAGGACCAATCAACGTATATCCTGGACGGAGATTGCGGAGCCGAAAACGCTGTGAAGACCGGGGGGTAACTGGGTGGCGCCAGGACAGTCGATTGTGTCACTTTTGCAGGAGCTTGGTTGTGGCGCATCTAAGTGAATGTGGTGTGTATCAAGCCTGTTGCTGGCGGTCCCTATCTACCCTTCCCTTGAAACACCTACCTTGCGCTCCAGGCAGTACTCCCGCATGTACACGGCCGCGAGGATGACGTTGTTGCATGCGATGATGATGTCCTGCCGTGTCTCGTTAGTCAGGAAGTGGGCCTTGAGGTGGGCCCTGATGTCGTGCGCGCGTGAAGTCTTGCTGGTCTTGTGAAGGCTGGTCTCCCAGTGGCCCAAGAAACCCAGCACAAACGCGGCCTTCCTGATAGCCTCGCGGGGCGTCACGTCCGTGTAGAAGACGCCAGTGAACATGTGGAAGAAGGAATGAAAGAGATACGTGCCGTAATAGGTCCCATCAGCGGTGGAGCCCACTCCACCCGCAGGGCTCCGTTTGCAGCGCGACGCGATAGCCGCCCGTATCGAGTCCACCGCGACGACCTTCCTGGTCTTGGGGTCTACGTGGTGGTCTGACAGCCTGTGCAACGGGACACAAATTACAGCAAAAGGCAAAGAAGACAAGTGATAGGCAGTCGTACAACTGGCTTGCCTTGCTAGGCTAAGGGACATCCAAGTTATTGCGTGGACATCATGCAGTACAGTCTGCTAACTCCACCATGAACGTTACCCGGTCCTACTTCATTGTTGCCGACTGGTTCTGCTTGTCGGCGTAATCGAGGTCGCTGGCCGTAATGTCCACCTCGCCCTCCTTGGCCATTGTCACGAGGATGTTCGGGTTGATAAGGTACGGCCCGATGAGCAGCTTCTTGGTCGGGTGGATGGCTTGGCGCCTGCAAGGGCCAAGCCAAAGAGGTGGGCTGACAGTGGTGTACGACACCAGTTGAGAAACCCCAGCCAATCGAGCGACGATTCACCTGATGCGCCAGCAGATATGCATGTAGTCGATGGAGAAGAGAACCGGTCGTGGCCTAAAGGCCGGAGACAACCGCCGCCCCGGAGCGAACAGCTCCATGACCCAATGCCGCACCACGATGGAGCACTGGGGGGGGGCTGCTGTAACCGAACGGCGAGTGCGTGAAAGCACGGCGCTCCTAAGGGGCAGCGATGATGTGTAAAGTCAGCACGACGTTGCATCAGGATTTCGATATGGGAGGCTGTCCAGCATGATCTGCCAGGTAGCATTCTCCCTTCAGACCTTATTCGTATCGCAATGATCTTGACAACGTACCCCTCCCTCGCTTGACGCCTATTCGTTGTCCCTGCGACACGCATGTACGGGCTTTTAACCCACCTGAAGCTGGCCGCACCATCGCCGACGTGCGCCATAGGTACGGCACCGTTCTCCTCGAGAGACTTGTCCAAGGTATCGATGTTGCGGAGCAGTGCCGGTGCAGTGTCCTTGTTGTCTGTCCCAACGGCACGAACGGGCACGTAGACGCTATGTGCTGCGATACCGACAGCGACATGCACGTACAACGACAGGGCCAAACCCCGCTCCAGCACGAGGTCTCGCAGCTGTTGCGGCCCACCATCTACCTGCTCCGATCCACCACACATGCCATACGCGAGGATGGCGCCATGGCGGTGCACGGTGTCAAGCCGCGGTGAAAGTGCACTCGCGTCTTCACTGATCACCAGGGGCAGTGCGTGCTGGTTAAACTCCGTCAACACGCCGAGTACCTGTGGCGGCCACAGCAGGTGTATCAGAAACATGAGGCTGAAACACCCAGTCGCTAGGGAAAGGGAGCACTCCCATCCCACCACCCACTCATCCAGATGCACGAGCGCTACCCCGGCTGAGCACCCGGGACCTAGATGATAGCTAGACTGTCGGATGGCATCGATTGCCTCGCGGTTTCTCCCTTTGCGCGCAGACCCAAACCCACTCCTTTGATGTTGGCATCGTCATGTGCAGGCCCAACCCGGAAGTACGCCTGACTGGCGCGACTCCTCTGGATGGTTCGAAGATGTGGGCCGTTGAAGTTGGCGGCCACGAATTTGACCACGATAGGGCCACCCATCTGCAGCAACAGGAGGTAGAAGGCCCGCTCGATATGGTCCAGCTGGCGGCCCCGGCGACTGTCGCCCCTCACCGCGCCCCGCATGAGAGAAGCAAACACAGACCCATGCTCCAGTCTGCCTGAAGTTGCACAGATGACCAAGGTTAACACGTGCCGTACAAGTCGCCATCTGGGTCACCATTTCAATATCCCTGCATAGGAAACGGAACAACAATGTCCCGGCGCAAAGTACCCATCTGGGTCACCGTGTCCCTCCCGGCCTGGAGTCGAAACGAACCCTCACCCGACCGAAACGCCTCCTCCAGCTCATCCACGAGTGCCGGTCGTGTCCGCTCTGCATTGGCTGCCACTGATCTACGTGCCGTGTCGAGATCCTGGAGAAGAACTTGTGCATGTTGTAGCGCCGCCTGGAGGCGCAACAACAGTTCAGCCCGGCCGAGGGTTGACAGCAGCGATGTCGGAAGCAGTGCCGGCAGGCCCTGCTCCAACAAGAGGATGCGCTGCTGCGCGCGCTGTGCTTTGCGTAGCAGTTTGTGTTTCTTGTCCACGCCCAGTTCCCGGCATGCAGCACAAGGTCCTCCGCCCGGCTGCACGACGACAGCACACAAGGTAGAGCGGATACAGTCCGACTCGCCATAGTAGGCGGGTGGCGCAGTGTCGAGGAAACCTTCAAGTTTGTCCTGAGGTGGAAGGGGCAGGGGACAACGATGCGATTGGGTCCAACAATATCAACGAGTGTCCTGACGTGGTCAACAAAAGTGACCACGTACATGTGACCTTAACACTGGGAAGCCTACCTCTTCAAGCTCAGGAAGCCAATCCACGATGTCCCGGTCGTGTGCAGTGGCACACTCGACGTCCGAACGTTGCATGACGCCCTGTAGGTCAGATCCATAGAGCGCAGCAAGCTCTGGGCCCCGGAGCCCAGGGCATAGGACCGACTCCGCAATGGAAGCCTTCCGCGTTAAAGACCGGGTCGTGAAAGGCTGGTTCGTCACAAGCGCTGACGCGGGCACACGGAGAGGTTTCGCCATGAGGCCAGCTTTGTCTAGTGCAGCATTGAAGACTGCCTCCGGGCTCCCT